AATAAGCCAATCACATTCAAAGTTGTGGTTTAAATCAACCAATCACATTGAAAGTTGTCTTACGTGCGTGCGTGCATGCGCTCTTGTGTTTCTGGCGCCTAATTGCCGGTAAGAGGCGCATTGGCCTTAGAATGTTTACATCTCCTTTGTAGGTATTTTAATGCAAATTTTCTCTTTCTATCATAACTTGGCTATTCTTCTTTTGTGGGAAATTGTAATTTTTATGATTGATTGGTAATAAGACTTCGTGTCGTCCAATTCGGTCTGTAATCATACTCGTGTTAACAAATCGATTTTGTTATCACTCTTATGATAACCGACCAAACTGGACTCCACTCAGTCCTATTACCATTACTAGTCGTTCAATACTTAATCTAAATCCTCTTCACAGACACTTCGAAAACGCCAAGAAGCGGCCGTCATTTTGTTATCAAGGGCACAGTGCTACGCTACTCACTATCTATCACAGAATATAGGTAGTGAGTAGCGTAGCCAATCAATAGACGGCATTCGCGATAGAACGCTTGTAGCTTTATACTAAAAACATTTAGAAGCACTCCAATACTTCGTTAAATAGGATTAAACGTAAGTTTTATATGGCCTGTCCATAGAGGCCTCCACTGGCGACTGCTCATCTCGCGGGTCATAAAGGAAGTCTTGAGCCAAAGCTTTCTGTTCCTCCATCATAGTCGTGCCCAGGTTTCCGTCGTCTATTTCGGCCTCGGGATCAATTTTTCTGGCTAATCTTCGTAACACTGTATTCTGAGCCTCAAGCACATTCACCAGCCTTTTGAAGCGCTTCTTAGTTTTGACGAGTTGTTTTCTAATCTCGGCGTACTCTGATAAATTGGACTGTTCTTCTTCAGTGGGAAGTCCAGAGTTAAGGGCGAAGAGGTTCTTCATTCCAAGGAGACCTATCAACCTGCAGGTACAAATAATGTAACTTTTGAATTTTGCTCTTTAACTGTTTCTGTTTACATTCTGTTAGACTTTCAGGAAAGTCGATCGCCTTGTTTATTCCGTACCCGTCGGACTCACTACCACCCCAGTCATCACTAACAAACAATCCTTATTGAAACTCTAATAAGTGAACCTTTTCATGCTTTCTAGTCCAAGCTTAAACCATACTAAATAACAGCATTATGCATTCATACCTCCACCATCGAGTTGGACAGTTAGGCCTGAAAATCAGTGTTGGCTGGTAAACTCGCCGCGTGACGACTCTTGGGTATCTATCTTCTACCTCAGCTACAAACTCGACTTGCATAGCCAACCTCTTAAGCGTAGCATTCTGGCGAATAGCATCAATGTCACCCACAGCTAAACCAACCTGAAAAAAGAATTTCAAATGAACAGGTTTCAGTGAGGAAAAAAAAGATAATTGCTATAAGCGCGGTGGCTTAATTTATTGTACCAAGAGAAGATCCAGATGACCCTCTTTCAAAGAAGCTCCACAACAGTTCGGGCATAGCCTAAACTTTTAAAGTTCGTCGTTCGTATAATCCGTGTTAATTTTCTCCATCCATAACCATTCTTGTTCTTTCATGTTATGTTATCATCCCCTTGGTGTTTTTCTATCTTAGTAAACTACTATTTTCAAGTTTTCCTTCGATTTAAAGGTAATTTAGTACGTGGCCAAAATAACTGAAAATGTCGTGACTTAGCTCCTTTAATGATATCTATTACAAAGCCACACAACTGACCAATAAGGTGTCCTCCTTAAAATACCAGCGCAGTATGACTACAAGCTAAACATAGATTGAAAAAATTATCACTGAGAGAGGCACAGGTATGGAGGATGTGTTCTCTTAGATCATTTGAACCCAGATCGAGCAAGTCATCACTTTAGACCCTACTCTCGCAGCGCCTTTCTCCACCCAGATGTACGGGTGAGTCGGGGCAAATTATATGGTAAGGATAACCCCGTGGTGGGCTAGCAACCCATCCAGAGGGAATTTCAACTGAAAATAGCCTCGCGGTATAGGACACCTTGGAAAGAAAAACTGTGTTTTTCTGTAATAGATACTGGCGTTTTTCGATTTGTGTCTTTCGTTCTGTTTCTTCTCGTGCCCTCTAGCGTCACGCTCGACGGACTAAGAAAAAAGAGGGGCTGCTCGTAGTGTAAAGTCATTATATATTGCAAAGAAGTGAAATGCCTTCAATAAGAAAAAAAGAATTACTTCCAAATGATACTTTTGTACATGCAAAGGACACAAACACATGCAGCAAAAACAAAAAACAAATCATAACGAAACAAGGACGATTAAGAATGGGGAATGTTGAAACGAAAGATGAATGCGCCATACCGTTTAAACAAAATATTCAAACTCTGTGGATCACGCATACTGGCCGAAGACAGAAGGGAACCTTGGTTGTTTACCATTTTCACGGAGAAACCGGTTCGTGAGCAGTTGTGCAACTGGCCGGATGGCAAGTTCCGTTTGGATTGGCCATTTACTATTTACTCCAAAACCCCAAATTTACCGAAAGAGACAAGGGCGAGTTCGACCTCTAAGATGGCGCTTGCAAATGCAAGCGTGTTTTCCCTCTCGGATAATTCGGTTGGAAATTTTTGGATTACCTCTCAAGAAGTTCCGCTTATTTCGAAAATTTCCAGTCGGTCGAGCCAAATTGGGTAACCATTTAAATTCTGACCCGGACATCTCCGGAATTTTGGGGTCAATAGTAAACAACCCTTTTATTGCTACCTACCAGCAGGTTCATCAGAATGATAGTCATAAGCAGCAGGAAGATGCTGATGAAGACAAATGAGGCTTCTGGGAACGGGTTAAGAGGCTTATCAGTCGATGTACTATTCTTGTCAATCGTGTCGATAAAGGTGTCTTCGAAGTCAATCTCTCCGACAGTCATCACCAAGACCATGATCAAGGCCCGTCCCAGATTCTGAAATGCCGGCTGTGGGAGAACACAGGATAACCTCAAATCGTTGTAGCTGGAGTGGCCCTCCATTCAAAAGTTAAAACGGTAAGTTTTAAAGTCTAAAACTTATCTCTAACGTTTTAATCTCACAAACCGTGCCGATAGCATGAGAACAGGCTCTTGCGGCGAGTGCGAAAAAAATTCGGCGAGAGAAGCGAGCAAACTCCAGACCCAGAACGCTCTCGGTTCACTCTGTTCGCCCTAGACCAAGCTAAGCTCGCATTCCAGGTTTTTTTTTTCTTTTTCTTTTTTGCTGGATCCACTATCAGTCTAGAAATTCTAGTTTTAGGGCATGGGAAGAAAAGGACAGAATGATAGTGTTTCAAACCAAAAAAGGGCTNTTTTTTTTTTTTTTTTTTTTTTTTTCATCCTTGTACCCAAATTGAGAGTCGTTTCACAGGCTATTGTTCTGAGTACGAGTACTTAGCTAAATACGAGCAGGCTGTAAGAGTAACAGAGTGTTCGCGTACGCATGCGTAGACGCATAGCACAGCACACACTCATTCACTGAGGTTACATTACTCACCTGCTCTTTAAAGAGAACGAAGAAAACAATTGAGAAGCCAACGAGGCAGACGAAGAAGACAAACACAGTCTTGAAAAGAGTCTGAGTGACTTCTAGAAACATGGTCACATAAATACCAAATAGGCGAAATCGGCGGAGAAACAGGACCAAGTTTGCGTAGCAAAGAAATATTGACGTCACACCCACTATCCAAAGACGGTCGGGATGCATCATGGCCTTGAAATGATCTTCAACGACGTCATCAGGCATGACAAATGGTATCATGAAAGCAAACGCCGTCCCATAGAGCGCCCATTCCACGGCATTGCTGATTTCCATGAAGTACTTAAACCGCTCGATTGATATTTGCAGTATCTCCTTTGAGAGATGGACAACTGTAAAGCTAAATACTATGTAGGACAATCCTTTCCGTTGATACGTATCTCTCTCGTAATACGAGAAAAGCCGATGTCTTCCGGAAGCAAACTCTTCTCTTTCGATGACAATAAAAGTGGAAAAGAGGGTGACAAAAACCAGGTAGGACAGAAAGTTGAAATAGTGGACGAAGCGCCCGAGGGTTGACCATTTCTGATTTAACAACACTTGAGTCAACGGGTGAAGGAGTAGCTGTTTACGCTCGTGTTTCACCATAGTACTCGGCCCAAAGAAACGCCGCCCGTTTAGGAAAGCAGGATCGTCGGGGCCTGGGTCTAGAAGACGGAAATCGTAAGTAACGGTGTACTGTGGATCGTTGGAGCTCGTCATCTCCGATCGTTTAACACAGCGGTCCATCAACAGCTCGGCACTTTCTGGAAAGTGCTCTATTAGGAGCTTCATAGGTGTGTGGCCATGTATGTCCTTGTGTTCCATTAATTCAGGCCATCTGCTATGTCACAAAAAGACAAATTATTAAATATATCTGTTCAGCAATAAAGTTTCTGATGATGTTGTATAACCTGATATCGAGCTATACTTAGGTTAACTGTACCATCATTTACTATATGGCTAGCTCCGTGAGCTGGCAAGATGAACCGAATCCTGCGCTGTGATTGGCTACCCGTGCGGGGGTGATGACGCTGTCTTTCCCGCTCGGCATTACCCGCTGTGTCCCGCAAGAATTTCTCCGAAGGCCATATCAGTAATAAATCCTTTATTAACCAAGCGTGAGGTCAAGATGGCTGGATATTGGCCTCGTTCTTTCTATGCGAATTTATGGACCTCGACTCCGTCTTGGTCCATAAACACGCAAAAAAAGAACTTGGCCAATATCCAGCCATCTTGACCTCACGCTTGGTCAATAGCCCATATTTCTTTCCACAATTACATTCGCCACTGTGTGCCTAAAGACCAAAGTTCAAAAAAGTTAATTTTACCTTGGATGTGTGACCATAGCCAACGCCACTTCACTGTTCCCTGCCTGGGCTGCTGTCTCTAAACACGTGAGACTCTGCCTGTTGCAAACGTTCAAACTTGCGCCATTTGTTAACAGCAAGTTTACAATGGTCACGTGATCCTGCCGACAGGCAATGTGCAGAGCGGTGTCTCCGTCCATATTGACGTCGTCCACTGGCACTTTGACATTCAGTAGCTCTTGACATGCCTTCACCCGGCTCAACTTTGACGCCCACATTAATGGTGTCCAGTGGTTGTTATCCTTGCTACATACGTCAGCTCCGAGTTTCAGTAGAATGGAGCAAGTTTTCCTGAGTGTTGGAGAAAGGCTTCCCATAAAATATATGTTTCGGACAGGCTTTTATCAACTTAAATTTCAAAAGGCTAGTTTAAAGGAGCTACGTCACGGTTTGCGCACCTTGAAAAGTTCAACGTAAATTTTTTCTATAGTTCGTTGTTTGTAATCCTTGTTAATCTTCCCCATCTCTAACCATCCTTGTTCCTTTATGGTTTATTAGTATCTCTTTGCTGTTTTTCTATCTTAGTAAACTAATATTTTCAGATTCCCAACAATTTAATGGTAATTTTGTAAATGGCCAAAATACCCTGACTTAACGCGTTTCTTTAAACCAGAGTGAGACGCTTTTTCAAACATTGAAGTATCTCTAAGGCCTACATATACTGTGAGTTTAGAATTTTTAATCTATTTCCGAAATGCATGCATGAGGCCGGGTTCAAGTCAAGTTAATTCTTTTAGTTCCGAAGCGCTTTCTCAGAAATAAATCGTGCTTCAAAGTACCCGACAAATAAAGCCTTCAATTTATCGTGGGAGCAAGATTATTTTTTCTAAGATGTACTTGAGTCTTTGATTGAAGCTTTACATTTAGGGAAGGGTTGTTCAATGCCAGATTTAGCTAACCCAGGATTAAGCGAGAATTTTAATTTCAGTTTGGTAACTTTTCGGTAAGGTTTTCTGTTTATATTGTTTGTCCTTCAGTTTTGATTTTGAGTAATCTCAAACTACACAAAACATAATTAACGGAAACATTTTTTGTAAGAAATATTAATACTTTGGTTAACTTTTAATCCTGGGTCAGTGCGTTAACCGGCATTCGAACAACCCGGTCTTGATGTACACCGTGTCTTAAATAAATTGTATCCTCTAGACAGTCATCATCATCGTCACCATTTCTCTTCACGCCAGTATGCGTATAAGGCCTCAGTTTCTGTCGCCAGTACAAAACCGTAGAATATCATTTGCGGGCTTACTTTTACTCGTCGAGGTTTTGTCTGGTTGCATGTTGTCTGTTTCTAGCTAGTTATTCAACATCCAACATCAATCAACCACTTTACCTGTGTCCATTCATGACTGCATTATGAAGTGGTGTCCGTCCTTGCTCATCTCGTTCATTCAGTCCAGAGGCGACTCGTCGCGCCAGCACATCCACCTGTTCGTACCTTCCGTACTGGGCAGCAAGATGCAGAGGGGTTTGTTGAGCCTCGTCATGGAATGTGAATCGTGTTTGTTTGTCCAGAAGTGCATTCATTATCTGGGTAAGCAAACAATGGGAAGCATGATGAAAAGTAAAACAGTGGAATAAAGTTTTAAAGTAATGGAATAGTCTGAGAGAGAGAGAAAAAATTAAGTCTGCATACGAGCAGTGGCCTATCTAGCCGGCGCTTATCTCCGGTTTCTGTAGCGTGAAGCGACTAAGAGTATTTCTACTCCCCCTGGATGAGGTGCTAGTCCATCGCAGGCTTACCCCCTGCATTAAATTTGCCGGTACCCATTTATACACCTGGGTGGAGAGAGGCACCGTGAGAGTCAAGTGTCTTGACCGAGATAACAACACAATATCCCCAGCCAGGGTTCGAACCCTGACCGCTCGATCCAGAGGCTAGCGCACCAATTATGATCTCCACTATGAATTAAATGCTAGACATGTCTACTCTGTGACCATTATTTGGCTATTTTTACTTCGCTTTTCTTTTTCCTTCACGTTCCTTTAGGGGTCTTATTGGTGTTTAATGGTCATTGTGTACGTTGGAAAGATTTTCCCCTGAACGTTGACAAAATTAAAGTGAATAGTCGGCATAAAAATGTATCGCTGAGGAATCGAAGATCGACCTTTTCCTTGACTATCAAAGTCGAACTAAGTTTTTAGGTTTAAATGATGTCTCTGCCCAATTCATTCCGCTGTTTCTAATCCTTTCTATCAAAAACATTCTGTCTTCGTCGTGAAAAGTGATGACGTCACAAGAGGTACAAGGATGGTTGTCCCTCTGCCCAGATTTTGTCGGGTTCAACAGTCGATGGTATATTTTAAAGTTTTCTGTAAAAACCTCTTCAGCTCCGATTGAAGGTGTTGCATGTGCATGTTGCAATTCCTTTTATACTTATTTTTGTGACTGAATATAGTGTTGGAGATGTACAATTAGGTGCAATAGTAGAAGCATGTCTACCTATGGGAATCGCACGAAATTTTTTAGTCGCTGCAATTGCTTCTAAACTGATCTGGTTTGGAATATCAGAACGCAACGAAAAACCCAGTAATGCAGTTTTAAAACTGACATTGGAATTGTAACGTACCCTGACATCTTTTACCATGGCAGCATAATGCAAAGGAACTCTCTCTGTGACATCAGGTCTATAGAGGTTCCACAACACAGAACTTTGCTTCAGGAGCATGAGCAGTGTCTCTAGATATTCGTTCTCAACCGCCATGTGAATGCAGTTCTTCATGTGAATATCACTCGTTTTGATGTCAGCTCCTTTCTGAAGAAGAAGTTGAGCACATTTGGTCTGACCAGCGGCTACAGCGTCCAGGAAAGGCGTGCTGCTTTGTGCATCACGTGTGTCAATGGGCACGCCATGGTCAAGGAGAAACGAAATGATGTCATCCCGTTTAAACAAAGCCGCCCTGAAACAGGAGCATATAAATGAAACCCATTAGTAACTGTAAACCCTTCTGAAGGACTCAGAAACCCAGGAAACGGGACTTTAGGGATTTAAAATCCAAACCATTCCCTTAAAGAGCATGCCCCCGTACCCTTCTAGGACCTTGCGCCTTCGGCGCTCGTTGTTTCGTAAATCGGTCGCCATGCATTTTTCCTAGGGCCGCGCGTGTGCACAGTTGAGTTGTTTGGAATTTTGTCTTATCGCAACATGTTTAAAGAGGCCTCTGACGTTCATGCAAAAAGTAGAACTATAAGTCTGTATTTCATGTGGAAACGTTTGAAAGGTTCCTCATCGTTCTACCACATTGTATTCGTATTTGAGTAAACATTTTTATATACGTTTAGTCCCTTTTGACGATTTTGAACGATGGGATATCCATAAATAGGTTCACTTGAATTATGACTCGAGTTTCTAAAGCATCTAACGAACAGTGACGTGAACAGGGGACTGAATATTTACTTATGAAGGACCGATTTTGAGTCTGCGTTCTTGACATTCATATCAGCTCCTTTCTGGACCAATAACTCGACCATTTGCAAATTTCCTTTCACTGTTGCCACGTAGAGAGGCGTCTCCTTGTTAGAATTGACCGCGTTTATGTCCGCGCCGTGCGCAAGACACGCTTGCGCCGTCTTCAGATCATTTGTTCCCGCCGCCAGATGAAGAACTGTGTTGCAACCCACGTCTCGATCGTCAAACAACTCTGTATTTTCCTTCTTTGCCTCAGTTGCTAAAAACAGGTGAGAAAAAAAATGGTGAGTAGACAAAAATTGTACCTATCAAACACCAAATTGTTTCAGTGGCCTACAGAATCATTCACCAACAATTATCATTTCACCCAACATAGACAATCCCTCTTCACGTTAGGTACTAGATGTTACCATGAAAGCAGCCATACCAGCAGGTCAGTGATGCAAACACCTTTTCAGTCATCACCCGAGTTGCGGTTATCAATTAAACGGAATTTTATGAATGATTAATCCACCCTCCCAATACTTCTGTTGTCAAACCCAAATATAGTTAATTCAGATCCACTATAACTGAACTATCTGCTAATATAGCCTTCTGAACGGGCCACCCACCCGCTCGCAAAATCCTGGCAGCGACGTCACTGTTCCCATTGTAAACAGCAGTATGAAGAGGAGTCATAAGTTCTGTGGATTTAGCTCTTATGTCGGCTCCTTGGCCAAGAAGCATCCTTGAAATGGCGGCATTTCCACTGACACAGGCTAGGTGAAGTGGGGTCATGTAGGCGGAGTCTTTCGAGTCGACGTCAATTTTGGCATGATGTACAAGAAGTTCCGCCACTTGGTCATTTCCTCGGTGCGCTGCAAAGTGTAATGCCGTGCTACCATTGGTTGATACTAAAGAAGGGTTTGCACCCCTCTCGATCAGTAACTTAGCGGTTGCCACGCAGTTGAATCTAAAAAAAAAAATAACAAATTTGGGATGTTCAATGAGTAGAAAATGTAATACAAAAGGGTTACCTGTGTCTAGATCGAGGAAAAAATGGAAATGACACCCAACCGTTGAGTTCGTTTTCCAAACTTGCACAGCATTCTCAAATGTTACTCGGGATTTGAGCGGTAATTCAGTCGAAGACAGCCATATAAATCACCAGTGTTAACTGAACAACGTTTTACAGATCTGATGGGTCTGTAACCTCACTAATATGAAACAGTACTTACTAAGTGGTATGGTGAGTTCAGTTCCCGTGAATAGGCACTCCTCTATAACTTCAAGTGTCTTCTGGTGCCAAAATCCCAAATTACATATACTAGAGATTGTCTCCCTTTCACTAAGCTGGGCCAAGTTTCAACTCTTTTTATATTGTAAAATGGAATCTGGTATAACATTTTTATGTTTAGAATTTGGTCTGAAACTTGCCTGTTCAGTCTTCTAGCATAAAAAACGAATCGATGAAAATTGAAAATCTCACCGAAATATCTCGTTTTAGTTTCTGTGGCTTCAGAATGTTGATTTTAAGGGGTACAAAACGTGAATTTTCAAACGGCGAAAATAGAACGACGTAAACTTTCACCGATTTACTTTTTAACGTAAACTACTTCAGTGTGTATGAATGAATGAAAGACTTTATTTAAGTGTCAATGATATTTAGCTTAAAATAACTACTTGGGGACACTATTTACACATTAAATATACCTTAGCTACATAAAGTTAAATTAGTTACAATTTATTAAATAATGTATAAAATCAGCATGTTTGAAAAGCTCATCACGTAACACTAATTTAATCAAGTAAACTCTGTGATTCTAATTGATCCAGCTTTTCGCTCACAGTGTTAGCAGCGGCATTCATTTAGGTCATAGTTAATACAAGGGAATGGTTATGAAACTCGACAAAGTTCTTTGTTGTATGTTTTTGTTCTCTTTTTTGGCCTTGACCGCGCACGAAACACAGAAACTAAGCAAAAGAAACGTTTTGGTTACGTAACTCATACAAAGTGCATGAGCGCAAAGCAAAAGATTGTGCACGATCGTGGATCTCGTGGCATCTTTGTTTGCTCCTTTGATGTCTGCCAGGCTTCATAACCGTCCCCCTCTATTAACTATGTTTATTTTCACCATCTTAAAGCCTTTCCAATTGGATTATATTAGAACTTGAAGTGAAGTGAAGTGAAGTGAAAGACTTTATTTAATGAGGGTGACCCGTGACAGTAACTTAAGTTACTGATTAACTTGGGGCCCTCAGCTTAAAATAATTAGAATGCTAAAAATATATTATTTACAATAAAATGCTAAAATACGATATTATTTACAATAGAATACTTAATTAAGTTACTATTAAAAATGGTTACAAATAATAAACTGGACTTACAATTTCAAACCTACTACGAATAATAAGAGTTAAAAAATTAATAATGTATAAAAATGTATACATTATGACTTATGTATACATTATAACTTGATGAAGTTTCTCGACTTTTTGTGCAACCAATTCATTGGCAGATCTACCAGAAATATTATTTCCACTTGCATTTACAGTACTTCCAGGTTTTTTTGTTGTTTTTCGGTTTCCTTGTTTGTTGCATTTTTTCATAATCTCCAGCAACACGCAGTATTCAATGATCGGTGCATTTCTAAACCATTTCAAAAAGCGACATTGCCGCAAATCCCAAAGCACAAATTATGAGGGGCTGACAATCCAAAAGTGCAGCTAGTCTAAAATATTACGCATCTCGAATATGAACTTGATCTTACCTAGCAGCAATGTGCAACGGTGTCAGCTTGTCCTCTCTCGTTCGGACGTCAATGTCTGCACCTTGATCTAACAAAGACTTGGCACTGTCAATTTGGTCGTTTTGCGCCGCTTTGTGAAGCGGAGCGATTCCAGCTTCGTTTAATTTGTCGATACTTTTAGTGATATCCCTTTTTCCACGTGCCTCATTCACAAAGTGTACAATTCCATCTCGCACTGCTCCGAGCAAAGCGGAACCGCGATAAATTTTGAGTTTTTCAGCTTCGCTCAAGTCCAACGTTAGTAATTCTTCTTTGGTATTCTCCCTGACTTGGCCGTTCTCCATCATGCAATGGCAAAACTACTAATAATCTTTATAAGTACTGTTCATCTACAGCAATGCTACGATTTTGGCCTTAGCAATTAACACAATGCACAAAATGCACTGTTATTCCGTCCTGTGAAAACTTTGCCTGGGGATTAATGAGGTCACTTTTCCTTGTGATACAAGCGGTTTTCTATACCACCATCTAGCTCTTTAACTACCCACAGTCGGCGACCTCCTGTGGTGNCTTCTTTGGTATTCTCCCTGACTTGGCCGTTCTCCATCATGCAATGGCAAAACTACTAATAATCTTTATAAGTACTGTTCATCTACAGCAATGCTACGATTTTGGCCTTAGCAATTAACACAATGCACAAAATGCACTGTTATTCCGTCCTGTGAAAACTTTGCCTGGGGATTAATGAGGTCACTTTTCCTTGTGATACAAGCGGTTTTCTATACCACCATCTAGCTCTTTAACTACCCACAGTCGGCGACCTCCTGTGGTGAGTGACCGCAGTTTTGAAGTTTTGCATTCATATAAAAGATGGAATAAAATGGGAATATTATATGAGCAGGTGATTCAGCAAAATGACTTATAACAGGTGCACGATAAGGAAGACCTTTTTTTCTCAATGAGTGAACCAATTTTCACGCTAACTTATTCTAACATGAAGGCTACTCGACAATTATAATTAATTTTTGTTTTAATTCAAAATAGAAGAAAGAAACTTAAGTATACGGGGACCGGGAGTCGAACCCAGGAAATTTGATTCAGGATACTTTAACATACTCACTACACCATCGTAGTGCTGGCTACAAAATTCCGAGTTTCTTAGCTATACACACTGCAAAAACAAATATGTGTAATAAAGCGTCACCAAAACCAGAAAACTTAAGCGAGCCGCAAGAAAACCGGAGAAATAGTGAGCTTAATAGTTAGCTAACTTGGTCTCATTCATCTTTAATTTTTATAAAAAAAAAACAGTCATGAAATTTCTATCTTGGTTCCACCCATTGTTACGTAAGTATTTCCGGACGATTGGAGAGTAGCCTGAGAGGCCATGGCCAGGCTTTTGCTTTCTTTGCGCGAGTTGTTGTGCTCTCCCCATACTCCTCACGGCTCAATTATGTACGGGTGCTGATAAGGCCATTCTGGTCCGGTCCCCAGAACTGCCTTAGGGGCCTCGGTACGAACACAACAAAAGGTAACTCGCGAGATACATTATTTGATACGTTAGTTTGTTAGCCTTAAATTTTTCTTTATTCAACACTGGTTCCTTTACCGAAAATATTCCCGGGTTGATTTCTAGCTAAAATCGTTCGAATGCAGCACCTACAGACCTTTACAGGAAGAATCTAAAAGAGACTAAAATTCTGACCGGAAGAGGCCTGTATGTTACGTCATGGAGGACTGAGTTCGAAGACTTCAAAACAAAACAGCCGAATGTTACATTAACCGCGATTTTCATTAAGCTGGATCGTATCACATACAGTGCAAAAGCTACCGCGAAAGTCACGAGGGTCGTTAATTTCGAAACTTTATGGCGTTTCGGAATCTGAACACTTGTCCGAACTTGCGTCTGCGATTTATACTTGCTTGCAGTCTCCACACTTTAATTGGTCACTGATATAGAGAAACTCGAAGGTATATGAAACTTACTGCCAACCACCTGGCGCAAATGATTGATACTTGTTCTCAGTCCCCCACTCTTGACAACATATAGAATTTCGAGGTTTTCTATGGAGAACACAATGCCAGAGGAAGATAAAGATTTTAAATTAAGATTTGGGAATTAGCTCCAATCACCACTAATCATGGAAGTCAAGTGTGGAAGTCCATGATAAACTGAAGGCGAAATTTGAGGAACACTCTTCTGTTTAAAGACCGCGCGTTGCTTCCGCGATTTCCGAAGTCAACACTGCTGTTAGAAATTGATGCCAACAAAGCGTTGGAAATGGGACATCTCCTTTTCATATATTGAGCCACGACAGGCTACCAGTTTCAGAACAATAAAAACGTTTTTTACTGTGCCAAATTAACAGGTGGACTGTGTCAAATTAGCATGCAGGTTATTCTCGGATCTTCTGCTCATTATGAATGCATGCATTTTTACTTATTTCCCAGTGTTTTTCAAACATCATCAGAGATTATTTCACTTCCGCCTTTTTTACAGAGGCGCAAATTCACTGACTTCGCGCGTAAACAGTGACGACCAGCATCATTTGCAACATCACACTAATGAAATTACTTGTAGGATTTTGTCATCAAATGCTTCAAATTTTCCCTCTCATCCTTTTTCCCCACAGTTTTTTTATTTTCTCTCGTTTTTTGCCCAGTTCTTAAAAACGTTTTGCAGTAACTAAAGTTCTCCCTAAAATACAAATTGCAATGGGAAGTTATTGGCGGGATACTCATATTCACAAACAGATGCTAGCTAACAAGGCAATTTGCATATTTGAAAGCTCATTAAGCAACAATTATTTACTCAAGTATACTCAAATCTAATTTATATCCTTTACTCACTGTATTTGCAGCGACATTTATTTATTTTCACTATATTAAAGCCTTTCGATTTGGATTAGGTCTTGGTGACGTTTCTCAACTTTTTGTGCAACTAATTCATCGGCAGATCTACCAGAATTATTATTTCCACTCACACACTCACATTGATTTCCAGGATTTTTCATTTTGTTTTTTGTTTTTTCCTTGTTTGTAGTATTTTTTAATTTCATTATCTCCAGCAGCACTCAGTATTCAATGATCAGTGCATTTTTAAACCATTTCAAAAAGCGAAATTTCCGAAAATCCAAAAGCACCAATGAGGGGGAGACAATGCAAATTAAAGTGCAGCTTGTCTAAATTATTACGCATCTTGAATATTGACTTAATCTTACCTAGCAGCGATGTGCAACGGTGTCAGCTTGTCCTCTCTCGTTCGCACGTCAATGTCTGCACCTTGATCTAACAAGGACTTAGCACTGTCGGTTTGGTCGTTTTGCGCCGCTTTGTGAAGTGGAGCGAATCCAGCCTCGTTTAGCTTGTCGATACCTTTCGTGATGTCCCTTTTTCCACGTGCTTCATTCACAAAGTTTACAATTCCATCTCGCACAGCTTCGAGCAAAGCGGAACCGCGATGGACTTTGAGTTTTTCAGCTTCACTCCATTCCAAATTTAGTAATTGCTCTCCTGTATTCTCCCTGACTTGACCGTTCTCCATCAAAAAATTAGCAAACTGCTAATAATATATCAAGGTTATGATCATCTACAGCGATGCTACGATTTTGGCCTTAGCAATTAACACAATGCACAAAATGGACTGTTGTTGTCTTGTGAAAACTTTGCCTGGGGATTAATAAGGTCACTTTTGCTTGTGATACAAGCGGTTTTCTATACCACCATCTAGCTCTTTAACTACCCACAGTCTGCGACTTCCTGTTGTGAGTGACCGCAGTTTTGAAGTTTTGCATTCATATAAAAGATGGAATAAAATGGGAATATTATATGAGCAGCTGATTCAGCAAACTGACTGATAACAGGTGCACAATGAGGAAGACCTTAGCTCTCAATGAGTGTAACCAAATGTTACACTTACTTATTTTTACATGAAGTCTCCTTGACACTAGCCACTACAGTGTCACCCAAACCACAAAATGAAAGGTAACCGGAAACAAATCGAGGTGGAACTAACCTGAGTACATGAAGAACTAACAGCAAGCAAACCTGGTCTCAGTCATTGTTATTTTATACAAAAAGTCACGAAATGTCAAACTTAGTTCCACTCATTGCATGCTATGTAAATAGACCAATTCCTCCCCAATTCCGGACGATTGGGGAGTAGCTTGAGTAGCCAGGTTTTTGCTTTCTTTGGGAGAGAAGTTTCCTCTGTTCTCCCCATACTCCTCACGGCTCAATTATGTTCAGGTACTGGTAAGGCCATTCTGGTCCGGTCCCCAGAACTGCCCGTCTCTCCCAACTTGGGGAGCCTCGGTACGACGAAAAGATGGCTGGAGAGACACACGACACTGGTTCCTTTCCCGAAAAATATTCACGGGTTGATTTGTAGCTAAAATCGTTCGAATAGAGCACCTACAGAAAAATTCTAGCCGGGCGTGGCCTGTATGTTAAGTTATGGAGGACTTCACTGACTTTGAAGACTTACTCCATTATACCTTTTATTGAAACGAAAACAGCCGAATATTACATTAACCGCATATTTCAGCGAGCTGAATCGTCTCACATGTAGTGCAAAAGCTAAAATGCAGTAGCGAAAGGAAATAGCTGCCGAATACGAAAGGCACGAGGGTTGTTACTTTCGAAACTCTACATTGTTTCGGAATCTGAACACTCTTCCGAACTTGCGCCTGCGATATAAACTCGCTCTCGGTCTCCACACGTTATAGCCGATTTAGAGAAACTTGACGAAAAGTGGGGAGCAGGGATGGTGCAGTGGTGAGAGCGCTCGCCTCCCACCAATGTGGCTCGGGTTCGATTCCGGCTCGGTGTCATATGTGGGTTGAGTTTGTTGTTGGTTCTCGCCTTGCTTCGAGGGTTTTTCTCAGGTTCTCCGGGTTTCCTTCCTCCACAAAATACAACTACATCTCCGAATAGGACAGAGGACCAACATGAGCTAAGGCTGATGTTGCTTTCTCTCCTAATATTGTACATTTATTTATTTATTTATTTATTTATTTATTTATTTATTTATTTATTGCAAAAAATTTATGATGATTGATACTTGTTCTCAGTCACCCGCACTTGATAATATGTAGAATAGTCCACGGATATAAGTAATTTATCATTGACACTCGCTATCAATCTCCCATAACTATGTGATAATACGTAAAACAGCCTTGCAGATATATGATGTGATTGATGCTCGTTTTCAGTGTCCCGCACTTCACAACTGATTTAGTCAATAGAGAAAATCCCTGGATATGTGAAAGACATGAAACTTGCTATAATATCAAGCAAGTGATGCTTGCGATTTAAACTTGTTTTCAGTCCCCTGCATTTGATAACACATAGAGTAAACTCACGGATATGAAAGCTGTCACCAAGCAACAAGTGCTTACCATTAATACTCATTCTCAGTCTCTCTCATTTGATAATATATAGGGTCACCCCACAGTCCCCAGCGTGGGAAACTTACTACCTATAATGCTTATAGGTGTCATATGCCGATGGATTGTTAAGGGCGTCATCTGCCATGACAAGAATGGCATTGCATAACTTGGTGTAATCACTCAGCTGGTTATACACGTGCGCTGAAATTCTAGTGTGAAGTTTTCCCTGTATTAACTTCACAGGCACTTCAATACTGAACTCGTAATGCAGCTTGGCTTGGACCATTTCCGCGTGAGCCTTGACAGCTTCCTCCTCTCCACCCTGAGTGACACAGTCGAGCAGCACTTCAGGAAGACGAATCAAAACCATCGGTCCAAACATGCCCGCATGAGACAGGAGGCCTGTACTCCATCTTTCTGCTAACATGGACGCGGCTTTTTTGGCCAAGGTGTTGTTGTATTGGCGAATTCGTTCGGGGTCCATGGCTTCCCAGAAATCTAAAACTGAGGGCAACAGACTTAGTATTAGTATACTGCGAGTCGGATCCAACCCTTGACTTAAACTCTGTAAAAAACAATCAAGAACGTAATTATTGTACAACACGTAAGCCAAACAAACCGACCTGATGGGAGCAATGAGAAATTGTTTTGACTAACAAACACATTTACTAGACTTGAAGATGATGTCTGCTCAGGCGGTTGTAGGAAAGTTAGACACTAACAACAGGTCTTTTCAGAACTACCCTTTAATACACGGACAACCACACTAAACTACTGATTCTACTAGGTTTAAACAAATTGCAATGGAAATAGGATGATTCACTGTCATCTCACCAGTGTTCAAAGCCAAGTATGGACTGTAGTCTCTCAGACCTAAAAAAAGTTAACCCTCTTTAGTAAAACTGCTACAAGCTGACCTACTGGTTAGCACATGCGAAACCAGAACAACTTGCGTGGGTTTCAGCACTGGACAGGGTCACTACGTAATATTCTTGACCAGGACACTTTACACCCAAAGCCAATTTTCCATCCAAGACAACATAATAAATAAAAATACTGATAGGATTATCTGTGATGGACTAACATTCTATCCAACAAGAGTACTGATACTCCTGCTCGCTTCATCTTGACAGAAATCAGTCTGTATGAGGTGAGAGGCAACCAATTTCTGCTGACACATGTACACAGCACACTAGTTTTGCCAACTGAAAAGCACACACTGTTTGTTTGAGAGGATTCAAGGTTATTAAGTATCAGGAAATTAAAACACAAAACACTTTTTATATTTTAACTGCTGCCCCCTGATGTCAAATCAGTAACATGTTTAAACATTATACTTGTGTTCTGCATTCAGCCAATAATTTATGACCAAAAAAATACAATGTGTCACAGTTCACACACCTGTCCATATAAACTGTGAGTTAAATCCAGCACCAAAACCAGCTGAAACAACAAGGGGCTTCATCATTGGCTGGTGCTGTTTAGAGACATGCAGAAAAGCACAGCCCTGTTGAGACATCACAGAATAGGTTATAACCATTATGCACTGAATTACTACTGCTACAAGTTAAGTATTGCATAAAACAACTTCTTATAGGGAGCAACAAAGAAAACAACAAGCAGCAAAAAAGGCAAAACCAACCAACCAATCAGTCAAAAGCAAGCTATCACCTCCCCAACTCATTTCACATTTCTCAAGAGACACATCTGATTTTTGCAAGTCCAGTCTAGTTTAATTATTTATCATATGATGCCGGTTCAGAGCAGTATAAAAGAGAGGAATATTAACTAGCAACATCTTATACAAACATGGAATCCTTTGTGTCAACTATTATATTTGAAAAATTAAAATAATATATATATTTATTTGTACAACTTGTTGGGAAAAAAATACAAACCTTTGAAATTTGTTAACAGCCAAAATACCTAACACTAACAGCCATGGTCTCAAACTTGGTAACCCTTCTAATTTCATGACCAGTGCTCTTTGCTTTTTTTGTTGCAAACCCTTAGTCCTACATGAACAACTACAAACTTTTATGATAAGAAATCGGAAGCAAAATGCAACATTACACAATACCTTGGGGCATGCAAGCCATTTATGTGCATTAGCCACATAATAATCAGCCTCAAGACCTCCCAAGTTTAGAGGCAAGCTCCCCAGAGCATGCGCTCCATCAATCAAAACTGGCACACCTTTGCTGTGGCACAGTTTCACAATCTCTTCCACTGGCATGATAACAGGGTAATTACTGGGAATGTGGCCAAAACAAGCTAGTCTGGTACCTTTCTCCAAGGTATTCTCTATCTTTTCAAGAATTTCCTCCTTATTTGCAGGAAATGTTACTGTGGTTTCCTTTAGAATTACACCTAAAAAATAAATTAGTCTTCTTAATCTCTTAGTGTACATGTATAGAGTAGTAATGATGAAATTATCAGAATTGTAGACACACAATGCATACAGAGGGCTATCAATGAAGCTGTAGCCCAAATTGGAATCTGAGTGATATCTCACCTGGTGAACAATGCAAACAAATCTATTTTAGATCTAGAATTACAAAATGTCACTTTTAAAGCTAGAAAATTATTTGTACCTCCTTTCCTAGGGGGGTGGGGGTACATGGTAAGTCCTTAAGCAGGAAGGTGCCACTGGGTTGGTCAAGCTCTGAACCTGTCTAAGACTCAAACTCTGATTTTCTTTTAAAGATTCCACTACCCCTGCAGTAAATCATAGGGATTGCTTTACCCTCTTTACAAATCCCTGGTCTGCTGACTCAACTTGAGATATGACCTTAGGGGGAAGCTGGTGATCTGTACCTTAGACCCTGGTCAATGACTTACAATTGTAAAAAAGCATTGGCTTATATCTGGTGTGGAATGCACCCCGGATAGTCAGTCAGACCCTCGGTCAGCCAGTCAGCTGGTCGGTTTGTTAGTTATTTCTCTCCACACCAAGAAGTGCATAAGGATGCACCCTGGATTGTTGGTCGGTCAGTCAACCAGTCAGTCATCTGACTGGTTGGCTGACTGGCCGGTTGGTTAGTCAGTTTGTTAGTTAGTTTTCTCCCCCACGCCATGAGGCCCACAAGGATGCACCCTGGATAGGAGGTTTCAATTTGCTTACCATATTCACTACTGACATGTCTAAATAATTTTTTGACAGTATAATAACAAGTATTCAAGAAATACACAATATCTCCCGAATGCCAGTCAGTTGACTTAATCACGGTGTTGATGGCAGCGGTAGCATTTGGTAGAAGAACGATATCGCTGGTTTCTGCACCAACAAACTTTGCCAATCTCCGGTTGACATGAGCGAGAAGTGGCAACATTTCTCTGTCCACAAATCGTACCGGCTGTCGCTCCACGTAACACTGCCATTTGTAAGCTGTTTCAAGTGCATCTTTGAGAACGCAGCCGAAAGCACCATGATTTAAGAACGTCCAGTTATCGAGATCAAGTAAGAAATGTTTTCGCATTTCCACTCCAAATGAGGCCGACGATCCGTCAAATGTAGGCAGTTCAAAGGGAAATTTCGGTGGAACATATTTCTCATCGGACAATTTCACGAGATTTTCAACCGTTTTAAAGGCCATAATTCCCTGGTATTTGGGCTTTTCGAGCGCTGTTTGCTTGAGAGTTTCGCGCACATTTTCTGTCAAGTTGTCCGCCATGTTGGCAACTGCGAGGCACATGCACCTTCCCTTGAGGTCAATGCCGAAGTATGTATGCGTATGCGCAGTCTTGCACAAAGATTACCGCTTTGTGCAGGCTCAAAGTTAGTCGCTGTGTCTTTGTGAAGGGTCTTGTGGAGGTCTTGTGAATATTTTTGATGTCGAAAAATAGGTAGAATCATTCAATTACACAGTCAAGAATGAAGAAGACCGAGACCTTTAGCTTTGGACCTTGGAAAATAACTACCACTAAAGGAGCCATTCTCAAAGCTAATGATGTAGAGAGGTAAGAACTTAATCTTGATAAGCTTGCTAGTACATAATTCTCGGTAATCTCGAATCATTTCAAGGCAGATCGAGATCAGTGCTCACTGTTAAAAATTTAACTTGCTGGTATTTAAAGAAGTGTAAAATTCTCACTCCATACTAAAATAACTAAATACCCCGGCCCACCACTAAACATTTATTGCTTGGCAATATCAATCAAATATGGGAATTAATGACTGACTGCTAATAAATTCGTATAATTTCTTAACTAATTGATATTAATCGATGAATTGACTGATTAAATTAAGTGACAGAGTGATTGATTGATTGATTGATTGTTTTAGTAATACACTGATTTACTGATTCATTGATTCACTGATTCATTAATTCATTGATGTTTTAACTGACTGTGTGTCAGTCTGTCTGTCTGTCTGTCTGACTGACTGTGTGTCAGTCTGTCTGTCTGACTGACTGATCGACTGATTAACTGACTGAATGACTGACTGAGTGACTGACTGACTGACTGTTTGTTTGTTTAATAAACTGTCAGTTTTATAAGAATTATTAATTGTAGAAATGACATCAACTCAGCAAAAAAAATCTGAGTTCCAGATGAGAGTTTTTCTGAGTTGATGTCATTTCTACAGTACATTTAATATTTCTGATAATACTCACTTTAGAGAGTTGTTGGTTATATAGTTGCCTAAATGTGACTGCACAATGCAGTTTTGAGTTCATGTCTCAACTCATTATTTGGCTGTGTGACCGTGCGATGCAGCTCCAGTCAAGGACCCACATTTCACCCTTGCTCATCATAGAGTCTCCAGTAGCTCAGTGGTTAGAGCATCCAGCTAGATCACAGAGGGTCGTGGGTTCAAATCCCATCTGGAACTCAAATTTTTTTCAGAATTGTCAGTTTGATTGATATTTGAGACATCAATATTGATAGATAATCCGTTGAAACCCTAACCACAGATCTCTTGATTTGGGAAGTTTATCCTTAAGGCCAGTTCACATAATTTACATGTGTGCCACTGACATACCAGCTACAAAAACGTACTAGGGCTTCCATACTTTTTGTGGAGGCATGGTGGCCTCATGGTTAGTGTGCATGCCTCTGGATTCAGCAACCTGGATTTAAGCTCTGGCTGGGGACATTGTGTTGTGTTCTTGTGCGAGACTCTACTCTCGCACTCTCTAGGTGGATAAATGGGTAGCGGGAAATTTAATGCTGGGAGTATATAAACCCTGCAATAGACTAGCATCCCCTCCAGGATGGAGTAGAAATACTCCTAGTCACTTCATGCTGCTGAAACCAGAGATAAACACACCAGCCTGATAGGTCACTTGGCTCGTATACAGATGTTACCTTTTTTGTCTTAGATATCAGAAATTGAATTTTGCTGTTGCTTCTCAATCTTAGCAAGCATTCTTAAAGTAAAAAATCTTAAATCATTTGGTGGATTGGATTACTGTTGTTTGGGTAGATATTCACGATTTTGTTTCTCTCATCTGAGAAGGTATATGATGTTCTCGAAGCAAGTTTTCATCAAAATAGGTACCCTTTAACTTTCATCAAAAACGTTTTGCTGTACATTTCATTCTCAACCTTCTTGTAATTGTCTGGAAATGTGACTTAAAAGCACTTGACTTATCTGTTGGGTGTTTAATGTACTACTTCCAATTTGATAATATTTGTTTTGTTAAATTAAATACTTAAACTATTCCCTTTTCTCACAGAATTTCCTCTGAACTTGAGCTACCTTCTCTTCCTGAGATGTTGTTTGGTGAGAATGTGCTACAGATTAATCACGCTGCAGGGTTTGGGATTCAATTTAATGCACTGGATGCACTGAAACTTGTGGACAACAAGCGTGACCTCATGAAAGTAGCTGTGGCTGAAGAATGGCAAAGCAAGCGGTAAAATACTGTGACATAATCTCTGATACTGTCTTGTCCTCCACTGAAAAAAAATATACTCAGCCCAGTTCAGACATTGTGCTTCTGACATGCTGAACTTAACTTAACCCAACTGCAATTATTGTAGTTACTGTAGGTTCAACTGTAACACAGCTGTCTGCAGAAACACGACTCTGATGCCAGAGTCTTGCCAAATTCAGGATTTACTGAAGCCACATTTAAAAAATTTTCCTTGACAGTACAGTAACTCCCCACAAGAAATGCAATCCTGCCAAAATATATTAACACAATTCATGAATTTTGTTTGACATAGCAGAAGCATGACATTTAATCACTGCCATGCCAGAGTCATGTAGGACGGCTCTGAGCTTGTTGAACTTAGTTGCTTGCCAAACTTAATTCAAGAGTTTGATTCAGACTCTGAGCTCCTGCCGACTTAATACCTGAATTTAGTTCAGCACGGCAGAAGCAGGACACCTGAACTGGGCCTTAGTTATTATGTTTAATACTTAAATTGAATGTCCTTAATAAAATCAAGTGTAATGACAAAGCCATTTGTGCCATTATTTATTGGGTTTAAAAACCATTTTGCAGGCAAGACTCAGAGTATATTAAAGAAGTGATTAAACCTTTTGACTGGACATTCACAACAGATTACAAGGGAACACTGACAGGGAAAGAGGAAATTATCATGAGGGTATGCATTTAACCATTCAAATCATGGCTACTGTCATCATACATGAAGGAGTTTTTGCTTTCAAAGATGACCTAAAGTAAGCTTCAACATGCATCAAAAATAAATCATGAATCCATTTTTACCCAGGGATTGGGTAAGTGACAAAATTTGCCATGTTGGTTGTTCAAGCAGAAAATTCCTTGTGTAGCTGAAGCTAAGGCTTTTTTGCTTAATTTAAAAGTTAATGAATCATTAACTTTTAAATTATGTTAGTGGTCGTCTGAATGAATATTAATTTGATAGTTTCCACACTCCCTACTACTTATCATGCTGGAGTCTGGATCAGTCATTGGCTGAGATCACAGTGTTGTGGTTTTTGGCAAGACACTACTCTCACAGTGCCTCTTCCCCACCCCCCTACCACTAAAACAGAAGTATAAATTATGAGTACCAGCCAGCTGTTAGACAGCCGGTGAAAATGTTGCAGGCTGGCCTGGGATACTCTGCAGTGGGCAAAAGAAGTCTTGAAAAATTGCTGTAAAATTCTGGTTCCGACACATCTTAGATACATTCCCCTGCATTGAAAGAGAATAAGGGGTTAAATGTTGTAAAGTATCTCTGTGGTGCTAAATGTGTAAGAGCTACCTTGCTCCAAGTGCACACTTTTAATAATAATTTAATAATAATTTATTTCTAGCGCATTACATTACACACTTTTAACTATAATGTTCTTCCTACATTCAGGTCAAATCAACCAAAGAGAGAATAGATCTAGAACAGCTGAAAGTTAAAGAGAAGATCTTTTTCTATGAAGATGTTATTTTGTATGAGGATGAACTTGCAGATAATGGAATTGCAAAATTGAATGTCAAAATGGTAATTACTAGTAAGAGTTTTTATGTACAATGTGCAATGATTTGAGTTGAATCTGCACATTTTTCTTGATTTGTCATCTTATTCTTGTTTTGTAAGAGAGTCTCAAGGTTCAGTTCTGCTAAGATCCCATGGGTTATCTGGGTCTTTTTGGAAAAATCTCTAGTGGATTTCCAGCTAGTATACATGTTGATTAGCTGCTCTGCACATCGCTGGTGCTTACATGTACCATGTATCCCTGAAAATGCAGAAATTTTGGTTGGAAGTCAAATAGAGTTGACCATTACAGTAAAACTATGGATGGTTTGCTGACTTTGAAAAAACCCTACCATTACTCAATGGTCATTGCAACCAGTTTATTCCTAACAATGCTAAGCACCCTAAAATCTGACTGGTAACATTTAATTTCATTTTGATTTCAGCGTGTCATGCAGGGGGGCTTCTTTTTGCTTCTGAGATTTTTCTTAAGAGTTGACGGAGTCCTTGTCAGGATCAATGACACAAGAATATATCACAAGGTACATATGAAGCATTAAGTTATTATTCACAACTTTCAATCTACAGATTGAAACTTTTTTTCCCAGTAATATACTTCCTATATTAATTATTACTAATAGATCACAAAATTGTGCGTGTTGACATTCAGAGGAGCAATAAGATCTCGTTGAAATGAATACAAAATAATAATGATAATGACTTTGAGGCTTTCAAACTGTATGTTTCATTGTTTTTCTTTGTCTTTGAACAAGGCTGGAACTTCCTATATGTTACGGGAATATTCCTCAAAAGAAAGAAAAGTAGAAGACCTCTTGGAATTAAAGGTTTGTATGGATTTAGGTTTTTGCGATGGACTACAATCCCACGTCAGGGAGGAATACTTCTACTGCCTTCATTCTACGGAAACTGAGATAAGCTGCTGCATTGGGGTCAGACAAGTCAGTCTGGCCAAAATGCAACTTTAGCTTGTGTTTGTAGGTAATTTCAGGCTACCATGAATTCAATGGAAAACTCATGAGTTACCACTACTGTATTACGTTAAATTTCCTTAAAGAAACCTACAACTGTTGTTATTTGCAACAGAACAATTTAAGTGATACCAAGGCACAAATATTTTACCCCTCAAAGTTGTGACAAAGATCCTTGTTGATACCTTATGGGGAGTCCCCTACCCTTCCCCGCTCCTCCTCAGATACACTCACAACCCATCCCTTTTCATATTTTCTGAGTACTGTGATGACCGACCCTACTTCACTTCACTTTTATCCATAATCCCCGGGGGCTAATGGGCCGGAACGACAAAATCTAATAAGTTTTTTCACGATTTTATTCTCAGGTTCCCATCACCGACCCCGCGCAGTTAGCAGAGCACTTATTTCTACAGCACGAAACATTTGAGAAACTTTCATTTCCTGATGGCATTGATGAAATGTTTGGCGTTGACCCTTCCGTCAGCTGAGAGTCAATTCTTACCCCCCCCCCCCCCTCCCCCTTCCTGCTGTGACCTCATCACGTAGCAAGTATCCTACAAATTATTATTCATTGTACTATTCCCCTCTTTTTTAATCAATCAGTCTTTATTTTCGTTCCAATTTACATCTTTACAGTTAGACTGGCGCGCGG